GGGGGGGGGGGGCCAGGGGACGGAGGGGGGGGGGGGGGTTTGGAGCCCAACAGATATTGGAAAGTTAGGGATAGGTGCCTCTTGTGCCACCGTGCCCCCCCGTCTTCTGCGGCCCCCCCTGGAACTCCCCAGAAGCCAGTGGTGGGGGCATCAGGGGTGGGGGGCAGCGGCGAAGGCGGGAGCTGCGGCCCAGGAGCCTGGCCGCTGAGCCTCTCACACCTCGTTTCTGCTGGCAGTGCTGGTGCTGCTAGTGGCCGGCTTGGAGCACTCCCGCCGCCGGGCGTTCCGCAAGAGCCTGCTGGGTGGCTCGCAGGATGATTTTCGGGACAACGTCCTCAACTACGACGAACAGGGAGGAGGCGAAGAGGACCAGGTAAGGTGGGGAGAGGCCGCAGCGCCTCGGAAGCGACGGCAGGGGCTTGGCTGGGACACCATCCCAAGGACACCACCTGGAACCAACCCCGGAGACCCCTGCTTGGGGTTTTCGGTGCCTGCCAGTGTTCCCTCCAAGCCGAGTTAGTGTGAGCCAGCTCACAGTTTTTTAGTCTCTGGCTCACACCTTTTTGTCTCAGCTCAGGAAGGATGGGGCTCCAGAGCAAACCAATTTATGCAGGAGCCAAATGGCTCGCTCACAGTTTTAATGCCAGGAGCTCACAAAGTAGAATTTTTGCTCACAAGACTCCACAGCTTAGAAGAAGAGACTGGATTTATACCCTGCCCTTCACTACCCAAAGGAGTCTCAAAGCAGCTTACAAACTCCTTTCCCTTCCCCTCCCCCACAACAGGCACCCTGTGAGGCAGGTGGGGCTGAGAGAGCTCTGACATAAACTGTTCTTTTTCAAGAACAGCTCTGAGAGAACTATGGCTTGCCCAAGGTCATCCAGCAGGTGCAAGTGGAGGAGTGGGGAATCAAACCCGGTTCTCCCAGATTAGAGTCCGCCCACTTAACCGCGACACCAAACTGGCTCTTGACCAGTGTTCCCTCCAAGCCGAGTTAGTGTGAGCCAGCTCACAGTTTTTTAGCCTCTGGCTCACACATTTGTGTCTCAGCTCAGGAAGGGTGGCTCCAGAGTAAGCCAATTCATGCAGTAGCCAAATTGCTCGCTCACAAAGTAGGATTTTTGCTCACAGGACCCCACAGCTTAGAGGGAGCATTGGCGCCCCCCGCCCCCCCAGCAGCCCCCCCAGGAGAGCTGGCCTGCTGCTGGAAGGTTCCTTCTTTTCACAGGACGCCTATGACATCAACCAGCTGCGCAACCCAGACCTCCTGTTCTCTCCTCCCTCCCCCCGGATCAAGCCCCCCCTCCGGAAGGACCATCCCTACGGCTACAGCTTGCCTCAGTATCCTCGCCGGGTGCCTGCCGGCCCTTCGGACATAGAAGACTTCATCAATGAGGCAAGGCCGGAACGCTGCTGGGGCAGGGGGAACCGCTCAGGCTGGGGAGCAGAGGTGCAAGGGGGCTGAGCCCCTCCCCTCCCCTCGGAGGTCTACGGCCGGGCTCTGCCTTTGAGGCTGTGCCAAGCAGTGTTCCCTCTAAGCTGAGCGAGTGTGAGCCAGCCCACATTTTTTTAGCCTCCGGCTCACACATTTTCGCCTTAGCTCAGGAAGGAGGGCTCCAGAGTAAACCAATTTATGCAGCAGCCAAATCACTCGCTTACAACTTTAAGGCCAGCTGTTCAGAAAGTAGGATTTTTGCTCACAAGACTCCACAGCTTAGAGGGGGCATTGGTGCCAAGTGTTGCAACCCTGGCTCTATGGGCCAACTGGGCATTGTTCCCTTTGGCCTCTGGACAGCGCCGCCGGGCAGTTCTGCTCACTCAGGAGAGAGTGACAGGCCAGTCCGACTGGTTTTCCTTCCCCACCAGGAATGGGAGAGGTACTGAAGGCCCAGCAGAGCAGTCCCTCCCCAAATCACTGTTTTCTGGAGTCTTGAAAATAAACAGGATCAGATTTAAGTGGAATTAACCCCCCCCCACACACACACACACAAATTTGTAGTTATGTTATGGGCCTTCACCCAACGGTATCCACACTTTTTCAGTCTTTCCTCTGTAAGAACTAGAGAGGCTGATTGAGGAAAGGGAAAAACAGAGTGGAGATTGTCCAGCTACGGGGCGGTGCCCCACCTCTCCTAGTCCCTGCGGGCCGGGCGTAATAAGCAATCCCACCAAACTGAAAAGTTGTAATTCGTGTGTGCATGGATGCCAGAGACACAGGTGGGAACAGTGTCAAAACCTCCTAAATAGAAGAAGAGGAGATTGGATTTATAGTCTGCCCTTCACTACCTGAAGGTGTCTGAGCGGCTTACCATCTCCTTTCCCTCCCCCTCCCCACAACAGACACCCTGTGAGGTAGGCGGGGCTGAGAGAGCTCTCTCTCGAGAACTGCCCTTGGGAGAACAGCTCTGAGTGAACTTGTGAGTGACCCAAGGTCACACCAGCAGCTGCACGTGGAAGTGTGGGGAATCAAACCCGGTTCTCCCAGATTAGAGTCCGTGCTCTTGACCAAGGCCCGTCTCCTGCCTGCAGGGTCTGGAAGTGGCCGATGCCGACCCCGGCGTGCCTCCCTACGACACCGCCCTCATCTACGACTACGAGGGGGACAGCTCAGCCGGCGGGTCCCTCAGCTCCATCCTCTCCAGCTTGGAGGACGACGATCAGGATTACGACTACCTCAACGAGTGGGGGCCGCGCTTCCGGCGCTTGGCGGAGCTCTACGGCCAGTAAGGAGAAGCCACGGAGGAGGAGGGAGGGAGGTGGGGAGAGACAGTTTGATGAGGGGTGCCGAGACCAGACACCGTGTGGACATCCCAGGAGCCACGGCAAAGCCCGGGACTTCACCGACAACCCCAGACAGGCTGCAGCCATCTTCTTTCCTGGGGCCCTGGCTGGGTGTGAAACCGGACCCTCCTCCCTGTGCAGGAACAGCTCCAGAGGTCCCCACTTCCTGCAGGCAACAGCCCCCACCCTCTGGGTGGGGGGCAGCCGTGGGCGCACCGGAAGCAGACCTCCTTGGGTGTCAAGACCAGTGCCAGGGAGGGAAAGACCTGATGCCTTCAGGGGACCAGACGTTGGCCAAGGCACTGCAAAAAGAGCAGAGCAACCCCCCCCCCATGGGAATGGAGATGGGGGGAGCATTTCTTGCCACCCGGACAAAAGAGAGTGAGGGGCTGCAGGTGGATCAGCAAACAAAGAGATGGTCTCAGTCCAGAGAACTTACAATATATGAATCATGCAACTGTGATAAAGAAGCATTCGCAATTTTTTATCTAAAGATGTTATAAAGGTAAAGGTTCCCTTGCTCGAAAGCCAGTCGAATCTGACTCTAGGGTTGCGGTGCTCATCTCCGTTTCAAAGCCGAAGAGCCAGCGCTGTCCGAAGACGTTTCCGTGGTCATGTGGCCGGCGTGACTAAACACCAAGGCGCACGGAACGCTTTTCCCTTCCCACCGAAGTGGTACCTATTTATCTACTTGCAATTTCTTGCTTTCGAACTGCTAGGTTGGCAGGAGCTAGAACTGAGCATATATATGATGTTATACAAAACATTAATATATATGATGTTATACAAAACATTAATTTCTGAAGTGATTATTACAGGAGATAATACAATAGAAAAACGGAAGCAAAAAGGCGGGACGGTGGTCTCCGGATTGGTGCTGCCGTTTCGACAATCTGTCTTCTTCTGACCAAAGATTGTGTCCTTATAAATTAATGTTTTGTATAACATCGTTAGATAAAAAATTGTGAATGCAGGCGGATCAGGACAGGAGACCTGGAAAAGGACAGACGCGGACACTTGGAGGGGAGGCAGCAGAAGACAGCAGGAAGACCAGGGGAGAGTGGCTGTGCTACAGCTGTAGATCGAAAGGGTGGGGGGGAGGACGGGAACCAGGCTGGGAAACGGGCAAGGCCAGATCCTGGGGGCGGGAGAAGACTCCGGACATGAGCTGCATTGCAGGGAGGGCGCGCCTCCTTTCTGTGTACACCTGGCCACCAGGGACAGGACAGAATTTGTCCAGCCTGCAGGAAGCCCTGCCCAGAGGGGGTATTTCTGGGCCCTACTAGGGTGTGCCTGCCCCTGCTGGCCAGGCAGTCTACAGTGTGGGGGCAGTGCTTCTGGGCCTCTCAGTGCCTGCCGTTCCAGGTGCACACACACCCTGCTGCTCAGCGTTTCCTGGAATACAGGCATGTAGGTAGGATGGGACTAGTTGGTGTCTTGTCCTACATCCTAAGCACTGTTTTGCTCCTTTTGAGACTTTTTCGAAGGAATAGGCCTTTCATGGTAACATTTAAAGGGACTGTTTTCAGAACAGGAGAACAAGCATGAGGTAGTGGTTAAAGTGTTGGACTGGGATCTGGGAAACCCAGGTTCAAATCCCCACTCTACCATGGAAGCTTGCTGGGTGACCTTGGGCCAGTCACATGCTCTTAGCCTAACCTACTTCACGGGGTTGCTGTAAGGCTAAAACAGAGGAGAGGAGAACAATGTAATCCACTTTGGGTCCCCGTTGAGGTGAAAGGCAGGATATCAATAAAGTAAATAAAATAAAGTAGATACATATTTCTGGGGGAAGGACTCCCCTTAGTCACTAATGATTCTACGCACAGCAAGGTGCTTCAGGGGACTAAGGGGCTCCTTTAGAACAGGGCTGGCCTACCAAGGTGCAGGTAGGATTGTATAATATCCACCTTGACTCATGATGGGGAAGGTCTGTCCTCACCCGGAATTGTAGCTATCTTGCAACGTGGCCCCGGCTTACCTCAACTACCTTCGCGACTCAGAGCCTGGGGAGAGGGTGGAGCAGGTGCTGATTTGGGTACATGGATGGAAAGGTGCTTTTAACCTTATCATTAATATTCTAACCACTGTCCTCAAACTAATCTTTATCATTAAAGGCAAACTATGGCCCCTGCCACACGGGGAGGAAAACACGGGCAAAGTGCGGCTTTTTAAAGCCGCACCAAAAGAGACATGCGGCAGTGGGATCACATAGATCCCCTGAGCCGCCGCGCACTTCCTCCCCTGCACAATCAGATTTTTTTCCCCTTTTATTTAACTAGAAACAGATGCCCTGGTTTATTAAGCCTTCCTGCTGGTGCCAGAATGGGGGGGGGAGGCTCTGCCCCTGCACAGCTGTGCTGGCTTCTTCAAGAGGAGTGGGGGGCCGGGGGGGCTCCATTTACACCTTTTCAGACACACCTGACTGGGGCAAGACCGACTGCCCTTCCTGCTAGGGGCACTCCAAAGAACATTTGGACACAAGGCACCAGGGCGCTTGGAACAGCCCCCTACCCAAATCAACTCCAGTTCAGCCCCCTTGTGCCCACAGCCGGGGGACTGGGGGCGTCCATCCACTACATCCCCTCCGCTGGGCTGTCGTGGGGCTCCGGGAGCAGCTCCATCCGCAGCTGGGCCTCCGAACGGCTGTGAGCTCCCAGCATCTTCTTGGTGGCTGCGACGAGTCGCGCGTAGCTGGCCGGATCGTAGGCCCCGCCCCCGGGCTGGGGGGAGAGGAGGGGCAGGTGGTCCCTGCGGCGGCCTCGGGTGGAGCGGAAGAGGGGGGGCCGGCGCTGGCTCTCCCCTTCGCGCATGGAGTCCGGCAGGGGCCTGCCGCTGGTCTCCGGGAGCAGCATGATGCTCAGCACCGACAGGATGGCAAAGGAGGCAAAGACCACGTGGTGCAGGAAGAAGCCCCGGCTGTGGTGGATGTCCAGGATGGGGCTGGCGGCCAAGCCCACTGCGCTGGCGGCCAGGATGAGGCCCAGCCCGGCACCCCTGGAAAGGGAGGAAAGGAAACACGCCCTGCAGCCGTGGCCAATACCCCCCCTTCCCCTTCCCGCCAACCTCACAGAGCTGCACATCCCTTAAAGGTAAAGGTCTCCCTTGCTCGAAAGCCAGTCGAATCCGACTCTAGGGTTGCGGTGCTCATCTCCGTTTCAAAGCCGAAGAGCCAGCGCTGTCCGAAGACGTTTCCGTGGTCATGTGGCCGGGTGACTAAACACCAAGGCGCACGGAACGCTGTGACCTTCCCACCGGAGTGGTACCTATTTATCTACTTGCAATTTCTTGCTTTCGAACTGCTAGGTTGGCAGGAGCTGGAACTAGGAACAGGAGCTCACCCCGTCTTGCGGCACCCGGGTCTCGAACTGCTGAACTACTGACCTTCCACAGCCTGCAGTTCAGCGTCTTAACCACTTGAGCCACCGCAGCTCCTGCACATCCCTTACAAAGGACTTAAATTGGCCCCGGGAAGCCACAGGGCCCGGGTGGACTCTCCCCCCAGCATAAGGCGGCAGTCCCCCTGCTAGTCCTCGTGTCCCAGCCCAGCCAGTTCCGCCTCGTGAGTAAGTGCAACCCCGCAGGGCTGCTCTCTCACTCACCTGACCACGGTGGGCAGGACTTCGCTGGCAAAGAAGATGCTGAGGGCCGTGACGGCTTGGGATGCAAGGATGCCCAGGACGGAGAGAGCCAGGATGAGCCAGGCCATCAGGTCTAGAGGAGAGGAGGGTAGATCTTGAGCTCCCGTGCAATCCGGGCAGGAGCAGAGCAAACGGGGGACGCGTGTGACTCCAGCCGTGAGGCCGGGGAAACGGACAGAGCAGGAGGGAGCGTCTGGAAAGCGACCCTGTACATCAGAAGGGCTCCGGGAATAAGAAACCCTGCCCCGTGGCAGTCGGCTTGCCAGCTCCGTGTTGGGAAATACCCGGAGGTTTGAGGGTTGGAGCCCGAAGAGGGTGGGGCTTGAAGAAGGGAGGGACTTCAATGCCACAGAGTCCACCTCCCAAAGCGGCCATTTTCTCAAGGTGAACTAATCTGTCGGCTGGAAGTCAGTGGCAATCCCAGGAAATCTCCAGCTACCACCTGGGGGTTTGGCGACCCGATGTGGCCGAGCAGAGAGAGCCCGTCTCCCCAACTAGCCCCACCAGGGGGCTCCGGCAGGACCAAAGCCCCTTCCTCACAGCTCCTGGAGCCCCCGACCCACAGAGGCTTCCCCCCTCTCCCAGGAAGTCACATGACCTGCCCTCCCCTTACACGGAGTCAGGGCCAGCAGGAGCAGCGCAGAGATGCCCATCAGGATGGTGCTCAGCAGGAGGACGGGCCGGCGCCCGAAACGGTCCACAGTCAGGCAGAGGAAGAGGAGAGCCACCGCCTCCCCACCGGCCACCAAGAAGTAGGGGAGATAGAAGTGCGGGGGGTAAGGGGCCAGGTTGCGGGTGAAGCAGTGGCGGATCCCGCTCCCAATGAAGCTGGTGGGGGGAGGGAGGAGAGAGACCGTTAAGACGTTTGGCACATCAAAATAACTACAGTGACCACCAGGGGTCATTTCCTGCAGGAGCACACAGGAGCAGAGCTCCGGCAGTAAAGAGCCCAGGGGGCTGGCACATGCAACAAGCCCCGCCCCCTGCTCCCAGCAGCCATGAGGAGCAAGAAGCAGTCAGGTAAGTTGCAGTGGGTGTTGCCTTCTGACACTCTTCCGGTGATGTCAGGGGGTGTGGCATATGCAAATAAGTTATCCTAATGAGTTACGCTAATGAGGTCCGGCACCTCTTTTTCTACGAAATGACCCCTGGTGACTACACACCAGTCAGGACAAGTTGCAGGAAGAGGAGTTGTTCCTGTCGGCAGCAGGGGACAGGACTCGCAGGAATGGGTTTAAATGAAGGGTGGGAAGGGACCGACAGGATCTTAGGAAAAGCTTTTTGACAGAGAGTTGTGCCACAGTGGAATCCGCTGCCTGGGGAGGTGGTAAGCTCCCCCTCCCTGGCAGTCTTTAAGCAGCAGCTGGACAAACACTGGTCAGGGATGCTCTAGTCTAGGCTGATCCTGCATTGAGCAGAAGGTTGGACTAGATGGCCTCTGTATGGCCCCTTCCAACTCTGTGATTCTCTGTGTTATGGCTCTTGGGGGACAGGATCAGGGCCCAACAGGGAAGTACGCCAACATCCCCCCTCCTCACATGACCACAGCCCCAGTGACCACCAAACTGCTGCTGTCCAACTCCCTGGGTCTAATCCCTCTCCCCGTCCCCCGCCACCGCGGGCACGCCTTTGTCAGGTCCTCACGCCGCGAAGCCAAGGATGAGGCTGTTCTTCCAGATGACGCGGGTGCAGAAGATCTCCCAGATGTGGTGGAACCGGGGCTGGGGCAGCTCTTCAGACAGACTCAGCCGCTCTGGGGAGAGAAAGGGAGGCGGGTCTCCTCAGGTGACCCCGCGTGGGCCTAAAGGGCCATCAAGTGCCGGAGCCAACTTGGGGTGACCCTGCTGGGCTTTCAAGGCGAGAGACAGACAGAGGCGGGTTGCCGATGCCTGCCCCTGTGTCACGACCCGGGGCTTCCTTGGTAGTCTCCCATCCGTGGCCTTGCAAGGGCCGACCCTGCTTAGCTTCTGAGATCTGATGAGGTCGCCGATCTCACTTGTCGGGTGAAGAGCCTCTGTGACCAACTTTCCTGCTCCGATGCTCTTCGCCCGACAAGTGAGATCAGCAACCTCAATTTGATAACCACCTTCAAGTCCTTGAGGGGCTGTCGTATAGAGGATGGTGTGGAGTTGTTTTCTGTGGCCCCAGAAGGTCGGAGCAGAAACAACGGGTTGAAACTAAATCAGAAGATTTTTCGCTCAACGTTAGGAAGACCTTCCTGACACTTAGAGCAATTCCTCAGTGGGACAGGCTTCCTCGGGAGGTGGTGGGCGCTCCTTCTTGGGAGGTTTTCAAGCAGAGGCTAGACGGCCATCTGACAGCAATGCAGATTCTGTGAACTTGGGCAGATCATGAGAGGGAGGGGCAGGAAGGGTTGCCTCAGTGCGTAGTTCGCATGGCCCTTTCTTACACGCCCAGGGAAATGCTGATTGCCACTTTGGGACCAGGAAGCCATTTTTCTCCATGCCAGTTTGGCCGGGGGTCCTGGAGGTTTTTCTGTCACCTTCTGGGCATGGAACAGGGGTCGCTGGGGGTGTGTGGGAGGGGAGGTATTTGCAGATTTACTGCATTGTGCAGAGGGTTGGACTAGATGACCTTTGAGTTCCCTTCCAGCTCTATGATTCTATGATTCTATGAATTGCAGCCAAGAGAAACCCTTTCCGTAGAGCTCAGCTCCTGCCAGGGCGGGCCCTCCGGTTGCACGAGGCAAACCCCAGTAAGCAAACCTGGCAGGAGGCTGCTGTGGGCCACGCCCCAAATGCAAGTGCCGGGCTTGGCCGTCCAGCCTTCGGGTGCCAGAGGCCTTGGGACACCCAGCTGGGCATTTCCAGGGAGAGGCTGAAGCACCCCCACCCCAACACACACCCAGACCCGGGGGGGGGGGAGGGAGCCCCTCTCCGTCCTCACCGGCCAAGAGGTGCTCCGCAGTGTAGAAGTCCTCCTCCAGGGACAGGCCGTTGCCCTCCGCCAGGCTGCGCAGAGCCCTCCGGCCTTTCTCCAGCTGGCAGGTGGCCAGGAGCCAGCGGGCCGACTCGGGGAACAGGGAAGGACACCTGAGCAAGGGAGAGAGGCGGCAGAGGAGTCACCTTGGCACCCGGCCCGCCCACCCGCCTCCCGGGCAGAGGGGTGGCCAGTTGAAAGGACACACAAGATGAGGTTCAAGGGCAGGCAGAGACCGCCGAGAGCAGCCACAGTGGTGAAGGGGCTGCGTCCCACCCCAACTGCTTCACAGAGGCCCAGTTGCTAGGGGTCTCCTCGGGACCCCCACCACACGACCCCCACTCAATGGGCAGCCTCTCGTTACTTTCTCAATCCGACTCAATTCACACAAATGGCTATACGGATGAGATGATGCCAACTTTCCAGCTACAGAACTGAAGCCCATAGCACAACTGTTGGGTGTTACAAGTTAAAACACTTTTCAGTATTTACTGGGTTCATGATGTTTGTTAAGTCACATGTTTATTTGTATCCAATCTGTTTTAGACAGTTAGAAAGCCCGGGAAGTTCAGATCTAGTTTGTTGTTCTGATTGGAGACCAAAGTGCCAAGTATTAGCATTTTATGGCTTCTCTTCCCGTCTTGTGCTTCTTTGTTCTGAGCAAGGAGAAGAAGCCCTCTCTTCTGCCATTTTCATTCTAGCTGTAAGGATGTAGGCATATTAGCTCTTTGTTATTTTACATCCCGTGTGTACCTTTTTCCCCATGCTAAGTTGTAGTAAACTTTTATTCTTTTAAACACACCATGGACTCTGCGCCTCTTTAATACTCTGCTGATTTACTTTAAAATTAAGAATACCTCTGCGTCCCCTGGTCTGCAGCTCAGGGCAGAGAACAAGGCCGGGCAAGTGGAAAGCCCTCCAGCGACTCCTGCCGAATGGTTCCCAAGCAGGCAAGTTCCTGTATGAGCGAGAACGGAGTCACTGAGCACGTGCAGTCAGAGGAGGACTTGATGTCCCACTACACACGCTAAGCCACTCTGTTCTTGCGTATACCCAGAATTAAAGTCTGTTGGTCTGAAGGGCGCCCGACTGGCGCCCGACTGGACTCAAGCTTTGTTCTGCCGCTTCAAGGCTACCCACCTGCATCTATCCCAGAACAAAGTCTGGGGCCGGGGGCACCTTTAAGACCAACAGAGTTTAATTCTGGGTATAAGCTCTCGTGGGCACGCACACCTCCTCAGATACGTGTCTGATGAAAAACAGTAAAAAGTCCAGCGGCGCCCTTAAGACTAACAAACTTTATTCTTGCATACGCTTTCGAGAAGCACAGCTCTCTTCATCAGGTACATGGAGGGTGTGAAGAAACTGCCCAGAGATATATAGGTGGTGAGGGGAGGAGGGAGAGGATGTAGGAAGTGCCGTGCAGAATCCTGCATCCTCCCCCCTCCCCTCCCCACCTATATATCTCTGGCCAGTTTCTTCACACCCTCCATGCATCTGATGAAGAGAGCTGTGCTTCTCGAAAGCTTATGCTACGAAAAGTTTGCTAGCCTTAAAGATGCTACTGGGCTTCTGACTATTTTGCAGCGACAGACTGCACGGCTCACTCCTCTGTATTCGATGAAGTGCGCATGCACACGAGAGCTTAATTAGGCAGAGGTCATTCCCATCACCTACTGCCTGTTTTCCTCTTTAACTGGAGATGCTGCCGGGGATTGAACCTGGGACTGTCTGCATGCCAAGCAGAGGCTCTGCCACTGAGCCGTGGCCCCTAGCAAGAGTGTAAGAGAACACATGAAGCTGCCTTAGCCTGAATCAGACCCTCGGTCCATCAAGGTCAGCCTTGTCTAATCAGACTGGCAGCGGCCCTCCTGGCTCTCAGGCAGAGGAAGGTCCTTCCCATCCCCTCCTGCCTGGTCCTTTTCAACTGGAGATGCCACCGGGGATTGAACCTGCACGTCGAGCAGACGCTCTGCCTCTGAGCCACAGCCTCTGCCCTGGTTCGATCCCATGCAGCCGGACAGCAGGCCTTATCCTGGTCTGACGTCACAAGAACAGTCCTTCTTGGAGTCTCCTGGTGTCTCCTATATCCCTAGCACCAATGTTAAATCGTGGCCATCGCATGGGACCCTCTCTGCCGCCCCCCCCTCCCTTCCCACTGGCCACTTGGCAGGTTTGGCTCGCAGCCCTGCTGGCAGGGGGAACGGCCAGTCCAAGTCCAAGTCCACGCACAAGGCCCTCTCCTGGAGGACAGCTGGAGTGTGTTTGGTGGGTGCCGAGCAAACATTCTTTGCTGGAGTGCTGCTGGGGCAAAGCTCTTCTGTTCCGGGAAAGGCACTCGAGCCAACCGCCGCCCCACACTCACTTTCAGGTGCATCCTGAGAACTTACGCAATTATCAGGTGTGGCGACAAAGGTCTGGGTCTTGCAACACTGTGAACTCAGAGAACAGAAGGAGCCAAGGCCCCGGACACACGCAAGCACCCAGCACGGAACAGGCGGCCCATTTGTCCTGGGCCCCACAACCAGTGCTCCCTGTAAGCCGAGTGAGTGTGCGCTAACTCACAGATGTTTAGCCTCCAGCTCACAGATTTTTGTCTTAGCCCAGGAAGGAGGGCTCCAGAGCAAACTGATTTAGGCAGCAGCCGAATGGCTCGCTCACAACTTTAATGTCGGCAGCTTGCAAAGTAGAATTTTTGCTCACAAGACTCCACAGCCTAGAGGGAGCATTGCAAACGCCCCGCCCCCCCGCTCTTTATCATCAGGCCTCACAAACACCCCCCCACACCCTCTTCTTCCTGTATGCATCCTTGTTCCTTCTGGATTTTAAACTCTCTTCACTGGGCTGCAGGAAATCACGGCAATGCCTGACTGGCAGCAAAGACGTTTGGCTCGACTGTTTCTTCGGGAAGCCAGGCAGCAGGGCTTGGCGCTGGTTCCCTGGGAGGAAAGGCTGAAGCACTGGGTGGGGTCCAGTTGAGGAGCAAGTTAAGTGGCTCAATGCTGCTAGCCGCACTGGCCACTTTGAAAGACCTGCAAGCCCGAACTCCAAGGCCTCTGCCCCTCCTCTTAGCAAGCCCGACAGGCACACTTACCAGTAGCAGAGAGCCGGCAGCGCCAGCCCCAGGGTTATCGCCCCCTGTAGGACCCGCCACTCCTTGCAGGCCGCCGCCAGCCCTGGCAAGAGCAGCTCCCCGAACACCCAGCAGAAACCGGCCCCCATGGTGACGACCAGCCGATGGGGAGGGTCGCACAACTCCAGCCCTGGGGAGGAAGCAGAACAGGATGCAAAACCAACGAGGAAAGCAGGAGGAGGGGGGAAACGAAGGGGAGCCAGGGGGTGGTCAGGGTGGGCAGCAAACAGCTACGGACAAGGAGGTGGGCAGCCGTGCCAGCTGCAGCCACTTAAGTCTAGCAGCACCTGGCAGACCAACAACGTTTCCCGAGGCGCGTAAGCTTGCAAGAGTCAACGCTGACGTTGTCAGATGGTCTGAAGTCACAGCTTTGACTCTGGAAAGCCCATACCCCCCCTCGGCTGTGCCTGCACTCAAGTCCGGCTGCTCTACTGCAGGCCAGGACGGGTAACCCTCTGGAACTTTTTTGACAGATTGTCAGCACCCACCTTCCGCTAGCAACCCTGAAACTACACGGGTACCCTTTTGGGCACAGGGAGAGCTGATCGGCCGATGCTGCTGTACCAGTTCCTTTGCCAGCCAGCTGCCTGTTTACCCTGGCTGCCAGGGCGTGTGTCCCCGGCCTGCCTTTCCCGGCTCTGCCCACATTCCCCCATCCCGAAAGGAAGGAGGGAGGGAGGAAGAGCAAACAGCCATGTCGGGCTTTGTTTCCACTCCTCTCACAAAGCACGCAGCACCTTGCGTCCCTGAGTCTGTGCCTGCCTAGGGGGGCCAGCTCAGGCCCGGCAGCTTACCCGGCCTGCCTTCCCTTGCAGAGGAGGGAGGGAGAGCAGGTGACTGGTAGCTCCCCAGGTTCTGAGCATGCCCGGGCGGAGGCAGCTCTGCGTGCATTTGGGCCGTGGCAGAGTGGAGTGGCTGGCCCAGAACATAAAAACACCCTGGAACAGCCCTGCTGCCAAACCCAGACGCTCCAACGGGTGCAAAGGCTCCGCCTGGGGTCTGTGGCTCCCCTCCTCCTGGAAGCCGCACAGGCCAATGGAAGCCAGAAGTGCCAAGCGAAGGCACGAGGCTCTAGGTGCAGGCAGTGAGGGCCTAACTTGGGTGCCCGTGGGAGATGGTGTCCTGCTCTGGGGCGCCGCCAAGCGAAGGTGTCCTCCTTTCACGCCCTGCTCAGAGGACATCTCCTGCTGGTGGGAGGCTGACAGGTCCTGCTCCCAGACGCCAACCGCCTGCCACGCCAGCGTCCCTCAGAGAAGGAGCCCGGGGGCAGCAGAGGGGCACTCACTTGCCACGTAGAGAGAGAGGAAGGTGCCCGCCAACATCGCCCCAAAGAACAGCCGCAGGAGCGCCAGCATGATGTAGTTCACTGCCAGCGCCACAGCAACGCCCAGCGGTACAGACAGCATCAGCGGGGAGATGAAAGCTGCCCGGCGACCAAACCTAGAAATATGAAGGGGGGGGGAAAGAGGTAAGCAAAGCTACAAAGCTGCCAAACATCCAGCCACCATTGCGAGTGCATGGGGGAACGGGGAAAGGGGCCCGGACCTGAATGCGGGTTTCCAGGCTGCCCATCACGACGCGCTTTGCCACAAGAGAAGAGGAGAAGAAAAGATTGGATTTATACCCCACTCTTCACTGGGAGTCTCAGAGCAGCTTACAAGCTCCCTTCCCTCCCCCTCCCCACAACAGACAGACACCGGCTGTGAGGCAGGTGGGGCTGAGAGAGCTCTGACAGAAACTGCTCTTTTTCAAGGACAGCTCTGACAGAACTACAGCTTGCCCAAGGTCATCCAGCCAGGTGCAAGTGGAGGTGTGGGGAATCAAACCCGGCTCTCCCAGATTAGAGTCCTTGCACTTAACCACGACACCAAACTGGCTCTCTAGAAGAAGAGGAGACTGAGTTTATACCCCTCTCTTCACTGGGAGTCTCAGAGCAGCTTACAAACTCCCTTCCCTCCCCCTCCCCACAACAGACAGACACCGGCTGTGAGGCAGGTGGGGCTGAGAGAGCTCTGACAGAAACTGCTCTTTTTCAAGGACAGCTCTTATCAGAGCTATGGCTTGCCCAAAGTCATCCAGCAGCTGCAAGTGGAGGAGTGGGGAATCAAACCCGGTTCTCCCAGATTAAGAGTCCACGTGCTTAACCACGACACCAAACAACTCTGGGTGTTTGCATTTTAACAGCCGCCAGAAATAGCAGAATTGGATAATCTGACAATGAAGCTCCATGGGAAGGAGGATGACGTCTATGATAGTATCTGGATAAAGTTTTACAGTTGGTTAGAGGAGAACGTTTAGATTTACGGATAAGCTGGAAGAGCTGAGTGTAGGGGTTACGGTTCACAGCAAAGGGTTATGACTTTATGGAATCCACGTTTATGTTGTATGTTTGTTCCATGTTTGTTTCAGGTTAATGTTCTATGTTTGTCGCAAAAATCAATAAAAAATAATTAAAAAAAAAAAAAACCAGCCGCCCAAAGGCCCCATCGCTTTTGAGAGAGCGCATCCCTGTCAGACACACCGTGGCGGCCCGAACGTCCAGTTTCCAGGGAACAAGCAGCCATCGCAAGCCCTGCGGAGAGGACAGGACCAGTGTTCCCTCTAAGCTGAGTGAGTGTGAGCCAGCTCACCGTTTTTTAGCCTCCGACTCATACATTTTTGTCTCCGCTCTGGAAGGAGGGCTCCAGAGAAAACTAGTTCATGCAGCAGCCAAATCGCTGGCTCACAACCTCAATGCCAGTAGCTCACAAAGTAGAATTTTTGCTCACAAGACTCCACAGCTTAGAGGGAACATTGGACAGGACCAGTGTTCCCTCTAAGCTGAGTGAGTGTGAGCCAGCTCACCGTTTTTTAGCCTCCGGCTCACTCATTTTTGTCTTCGCTCAGGAAGGAGGGCTCCAGGGCAAACTAATTGATGCAGCAGCCAAATGGCTCGCTCACCACTTTAATGCCAGTGGCTCACCAAGTGGAATTTTTGCTCACAGGACTCTGCCGCTTAGAGGGAGCATTGGACAGGGACCCCCCCCCCACTCCACCTGGGCGTCCTTCCCCCAGGCCCCAGCCTGGCAGTCCCTTTTGGCGCTTCCCAAAGCACCCTCCTCTTCCCCATCCAAGGAGCAGGAGACCCCTCCTCTCTCTCCGCCCTTCATCTCAGGAGAGAAGAGCCAGAGTCCAGGAGCATCTCACAGACTGGCACAATGCGTGGCCGGGGAGGAGCGTTCGGGAGTTACGCGCCCTTCCTCGGATTCTGCTGCTACGGACAGACTAGCTCCACGGCTGCCCATTGTCTCGAGAGCCTCCAGCTCGCCCTTTCAGAGCCCCAGGGCAGGAGATGTGCCCACAAGACCCTCCTTCCCCTCCTCGCTTCAGCTGCCTCACAGCCAACGCTCCCTCTGAGCTGTGGAGTCTTGTGAGCAAAAACCCTGCTTTGTGAGCGGCTGGCATGAAAGTTGTGAGCAAGCGATTCGGCTGCTCCATCAATTTGTTTGCTCCTGAGCCGAGACCAAAAAATGTGTGAGCTGGAGCCAAAAACGCTGTGAGCCAGCTCACACTCACTCAGCTTTGAGGGAACACTGCTCACACTTGGTTCCCGTGCCAGCCTCCTATGGGTCGTCCCCACCCCAACCCACTTAAAGGCAGGCAGCCAAAGGGCAGCCAGGAGCTGAGCCCAGACCAGCATCCAGCTCCGGCTTCTGGTGTCCTCCTGGCCCCACTGCTGGACCTCCTGAGGGCCCCTGGTGTTTCTGGCCACTGTGTGACACAGAAGAGTGTTGGACTGGAGGGGCCACTGGCCTGATCCAACACTGGCGTCTCTTGCGTTCCTATGACCGGAAAGTGACCAGTCCTCCTGGTGAAAAGGGCGGCCACAGGGGGGCAGCCGCCCACCCACAAAAAGGCCCCAGGAAGGGAGATGATGCTGGGAAGGGGGGGGGGGCGCACTACCTGTCGCAAGCGGCGCCGAAGCCCACGTAGCCGAGGACCCAGCCCAGGAGGTAGGTGGTCTGCTCCAGCGGCACCTGCCAGCGCTTCGAGCACACGAGGTCCCACTGCCAGGGGAGGGGAGAGGAGAGGGTCAGTCAGCCCCCCCCCGGAGGGGAAATGCGCCCAGCGACCCGCCCCCCCAGTTCTCCCCCCCCACACTGGCACGCCGCCCTCCCGCGGCCACGTG